TAATTAGGTCTTTCATGGTATAACCTGTGTGCTAGTTTCATCTCAGTTGGCAGTTGAGTGAAGCAATTTTCTGAAGATGTTCACTGCAACCCTTCAGGAGGGCGTGGTCCATCATACCAAATCGGAATAGAAGAAATGAACAGCATCTCATCCTCTGTGAAAACAAAATAAGAAACTCCTTTCCAAAGCATCATGTCCTTAGATCCCAATTCAAAATATCTATGTTGGATTAGTTCAGCAGCATTTATAAACAAGTATCTTTTAGCATCTGTTTCTCCTTCCTCAGCATTTAAACAATTCAAAGAGAGCATAATAGCATACAGTATCAAAATTCTCTGTCTATTTTCCATCTTTGTACAGCTTTGTTTTAACCTCTATTTTGTTTATTTTTACTTTTAACTTTTTGCTTTTTGAGACAGGTTCTCTGTATCTTTGACCTGAAGTAACTCTGTAGACCAGGCTGTCTTTGAACTCTCAGAGATCCGCCTGTCTCTGCCTCCCAGGCATTGGGATTAAAGGTGTACACTACTACACCTTGAACTCACAGAGATCTGTTTGTCTCTGCCTTCTAGGCACTGGGATTAAAGGCGTGTGCTACCACACACAACAACTCTCTTCCTTTTTTTGTTTTTTACTTTAAGAACTTCAACTTTTAGTCTGCATATATTTTTAACACACTTTAAACCATTCAGAAATTTTCTCTGTCTTTGAATCTCTCTTTACTGTATATCTCTCTTTTTCTGACCACATGAATCTTTAATTTACCAAGCAATCTCAGTAGGACTAAAGGCGTGGCTTTGCCAGCTAGATCCAGTCCATTCCTTAGCTTTCCAGCCTCATGGCTGAGGTACTGGCTATAGCCAGCAAGCGAGCTACAACAGACAACACTCAAGTCCTCTCTCGGTAGCCGGCCCTCCTGCCTCAAATAGTCAGAGTTTGCCCTGGCAGGACGGCCCAGAAAGCCGGCATTTTTAAACGGCGCAGCTTTTTTCCTGCTATGTCTGAAAACCGAAAAGCATGTGTTCAGCTTTTCCTCAACACCGTTTAAGTGTATCGTGGCAGGACCTCTTAATGATCTGCAGGCTTTGCAGCTAAAGCTGAGTCAGGAAGCCTCTCTTAGATGAGGCGCTTGCTTGCCTCTAGCAAGCAGAGTAGAACCGAGAAATTGCTGCTACCAAGAAACCATGCACAATGCTTTCATTTTGTTCTAGAATTACTTCCCAAGCTGTCTCAGGCTTTATGTGGAAGCAGTTGCCCCACGTTGGGCGCCATATGAAGTAATAAGGGTGGCGGGGCTGCGTTCCCAGCACCCCCGGCCGCCTGCCCGGCTAGCTTATGCCCAAAATAATTACACAGACACTGTATTCTTTTAAGCACTGCTTGGCCCATTCTCTTCTAGGCTAATTCTCACATATTAATTTAACCCATTTCTAATCATCTGTGTTGCGCCCCTGGTGCGCTTACCGGGGAGATTCTAGCCTATGTCCATCCTGGGTCGGAGCTTCAACCTGGGAGCGGGGCATGGCGTCTCTCTCAGGCGTCTGCTCCCGAGCGGAGAGCTGTGGAGTCTCTGACCTCACTTCCTCTTCCTCCCAGCGTTCTGTCCCGTCTTCTCCTCCCACCTATCCTCCAACCAATAAAATGGGCCAGGGCAGTTCCTTTATTAGCCAATGACCTTCCTCCATCACTCACGCACACTCACGCACACTCACACACACGCACACACTCACACACACTCACACACACTCGCGCACACTCGCATACACTCGCACACACTCGCGCACACTCACCCACACTCACTCACACTCAATCACACTCGCGCACACTCACTCACACTCGTGCACACTCACACACACTCGTACACACTCGCACACTCACAGACACACACATACTCGCACACACTCACACACACTTGCACACACTCACACACATGCTAGTACACACTCACACACACTCACACACACACTCAAACACACTCGTACACACTAGCACACACTCACACACACTCGCACACACTCACACACACTCGCACACACACTCGCACGCACACAATCTCGCACACACTCACACACACACACTCGCACACTCACACACACTCGCACACACTCACACACACTCGCACACACTCACACACTCACATACACACTCACACAAACACACTCACACACACACTCACACATACACTCACACAAACTCACACACACACTCACACTCGCACACACTCACACACACTCACACACACACTCGTACACACTGGCACACTCACAGACACACACACTCACACACAATCAAACACATACTCGCACACGCACACACTCGCACACAATCACACACACTCGCACACCCTCGCACACACACTCGCACACACACCCTCGCGCACACTCGCATACACTCGCACACACTCGCGCACACTCGCGCACACTCACCCACACTCACTCACACTCACTCACACTCGCGCACACTCACACTCGTGCACACTCACACACACACTCGTACACACTCTCACACTCACAGACACACACATACTCGCACACACTCACACACACTCGCACACACTCACACACACTCGCACACACTCACACACATGCTCGTACACACTCACACACACACTCAAACACAAACACACTCGTACACTCACACACACACTCAAACACACTCGTATACACTCGTACACACTCACACACACTCGCACACACTCACACACACTCGCACACACTCACTCACACTCGCACAAACTCGCTCACACTCACACACACTCACACACTCTCGCACACACTCACACACACACTCGCACACACTCACACACACTCGCACACACTCACACATTCACACACACTCGCACACACTCACTCACACTCACACACACTCGCACACACTCGCACACACTCACACACTCACACACACTTGCACACACTCACACACTCGCACACACTCGCACACGCTCGCACACACGCTCGCACATACTCACACACATTCACACACACTCACACACAATCACAGACACTCACACACAATTGCACACACACCCACTCGCACACACTCGCACACACTCACACACACTCACACACACTCGCAACACTCGCACACACTCTCACACACACAATCATACACCCACACTCGCACACGCTCGCACACACTCACACACACTTACACACACTCACACACTCACACACGCTCGCACACACACACTAGCACATACTCGCACACACTCACACACTTACACACACTCGCACATGCTCGCACACACACACACACTCACACACACTCACACACACTCACACACACTCTCAACACTCGCACACACTCTCACACACACAATCATACACCCACACTCGCACACGCTCGCACACACTCACACACACTTACACACACACACACTCACACACGCTCGCACACACACTAGCACATACTCGCACACACTCACACACTTACACACACTCGCACATGCTCTCACACACACACACACTCACACACTCACACACACACTCACACACTGGCACACACTGGCACACACTTGCACACACTCACACACACTCACGCACACTCATGCACACTCATGCTCACACATGCTCACACACACACACTCGCACACACTCACACACTCACACACACACTCACACACTGGCACACACTCACACACACTCATGCACACTCATGCACACTCACGCTCACACATGCTCACACACACACTCGCACACACTCGCACACACTCACACACACTCACGCACACTCATGCACACTCACGCTCACACATGCTCACACACACTCGCACACAATCGCACACAATCGCACACACTCACTTATGCTCGCACACACTCACACTCACACACACACTCGCACACACTCACACACACTCACACTCACACACACACTCACACACACAGTGAATTAATAGATCATGCTTTTTATATTTCTATTTCAAATGATATCACAATCCTGTCATTTGTTTTGTCTGTACAAAATGCTGAACCCAGGATACACAGGATGTATGATTCTTGAAATTCCCATATCTTCAAACTTTATTCTAGAGGAAGTTACAGTGCCTTTTCAACAGGATTATTTTGTCTTCAGGGGAGAAAATATCAGACATAAGCAGTACGTAAAAGATACTTTTAGTGGATCAGCTTTAGTAAAGAGGGGGGGAACCTACTAGTTAAGCATTTAAAAGAGTTGAAAAGTTATAATTGAAAAATTATAGCACACACCTATAACCCTAGCTACCCAGGGAGCCAAGAAAGGGGAATCATAAGTTCAAGGTCAGTATGACATACAGAATGGGGCCTCACCTTAAAATTTAAAAAAAATGAACAGTTTAAAGATAATTGGTTTGACTTATGTATAATAAAGTTGTTAAATGAATTCCGAGTACAAGCAGTACACATATATGTGACCAGAGTGTGAATAAAATTTTATTATCCTTTGCTATTATCAGGTGTCATTCTGTCACCTTTGCTTGTCTCTTCTAATAATATGGTGAACAATTGACATTTTAAAATACCCAATTAAGCATGTAATTGGTAAATGGATTTGGATCCTCTTTAATCAAATAAAAATAAGCATACCAGATTAATAAGCATACTATCTCCATTTCAATAACTTAGAATGCAAATATATCGCAAGGGGATGTTTCATCTGATAAACTAATAAAACCCAGTCAATCAAATAACAAAATATTGAAAAGCAACAACAGGAAATATAAGGGAAGCACTCGGTGGAGCAAAGCCATCAGTCTGTTGATTCATTTTCTTTATTTCTAGTATAGGGTTAGCAGTAGAAAGATCCTCCTGGCCCTTTGCATTAATTTTTGTGCCTGAATATGTTCAATTTTACTTAGTGTAGGCCCGAAATTTCACAACAGCAGATTAACGCAGCCTATCTTCATGAGCAATTGAGCAAACAGACCAATATCAGTGTAAAATTGTGATTCTGATGCTATAATGCTGTCTTTCCTGTTTGTCATGAATTTGACCTCTTTGCCTTTCTTTTTCATCCTTTCGCAGCTTCGGTCCAGGGTCCCTGGGAGAGAGCCATCTCACCAAACAAAGTGCCCTACTATATTAAGTAAGTCAAAAGGATTACTTTCTTAAAGGAGCATTTATTTTATCTGATCTGTATATTCACAAAGAAATTTTAAAGTGGTTACCTTCTTCTGCAATACCTATTTCTTTTTATTCCTAAGGAAGCTTAGATAGTAAACTCATGCTGAAATTAGCCCTGTAAATTTGCTGATGTGATAGGGAACCACTTTCAGGAACAATGCATTTAATGAAGCATATAAGGTGTGTTTTTGAGAGTGAGAAGAATTTTCACAGTAGAACAAAAAACCTAGGTAATATCTGTGATGGTGGGAGTGATTATTTGACAGAAAAATATTATTTATGTAGGGGGATTCTTCATTTCTTTTTCAGACAGAGGTGGGAGATTTACAAGTGATATTTACAAAACTGTTTAAATGAATTATTTGTCACATAACCCACAGGCAGACAGTACAGAATTTGTGGAGCTGAGCTGTTCATTCTCAACATGCAGTTCTCAGCCTTTGTTACCTAATAATAGCATCAGAGTGGAACTCTTTTTCCTGGGACCATTTGTGTCAGTCAATGGAAAAGAGTCAAAGGATGGATGTCCTATGAAACTTAAATTATGATATATTGAGTCGACACAGAAAAGGAAGGAGAAGGAATATTGAGTTATTATGATGGTTTAACAGTCTCTCATCAATCGTGCAGGAGTCTAACTTCAATCTAACTTTGAATTGGCTACTCCCAACAACAATTGGAAATAATTGGTTTCGTCAAGCGGTCTTCAGTCACAGCTAAAGTCTTTGAACTTTCTTTTGGCATGAGTCTGAATAAAAATATGAAATATTTCCCCGGTTTTTTCAGCATGCCATCTTTTATCGAGGATGTTTTTATTCTTCCGCTACCCATCAATTTTTTATAATTCAGTTCCAAAACAATAGCTACAGCCCTAGATCTTCATTACTTCAGTTCTCAAGAAATGTGATTTCATGCCTCTATTTTGTTAACTCAAAATAATGACAATGAAGGGACTTTTGGGGCTCTCTAAAGTAAGACATATTCTTCAGGAAGATGGTTTAACTTTTATTTTATTAAACTTTTCTCAAATAAGATAGCTTTTAACCTTAAATTCTTTAATATGTTTTAATCCTACTTTACAATTTTCTTCTTTCTCAAAAGTTTTGTGAACATGTTCATTTATTGACTCTAAATTACATATTGTAAACACCAATTTAAGGTACATGTTTTACTAAATAATGTGTAGATTTGAACGTGTGTGTGTATTTTTATGGAACCTTTTGTTCAAAGCCTTTGTAGTGATTTACTACCTCAGTGTTTTTGTCAGTGCGGATTTCGTTTCTGATTAAGATATCTTAGGCTTACTAGTGCATCAGCAAAGCTCTCACTTTTACTCATTTCCATTATCAGCTGCAATGAAGGTTCTTTTTTTGAGAATATGCATGAAGGTTTAGAACCATCTACAATCACTCTGCTGCACTGATTTTCTGAATTGCTGTGTAGGTTCGTTAACAGCCTCACAAGGACTTTACCACATTCCCCTTGTTTCCCAAATCTTTCTTGTCTCTCTAGGGCAGTGATTCTCAACATGTGGGTCACAACCCAATTGTGTTCGCTTATCAGGTATCCCGCATATGTGATATTCATATTATAATGTATAACAGTAGCAAAATTACAGTTATGAAGTAGCAACAAAAGTGATTTTATGGGGGGGGGTCACCATAACATGAAGAACTTTATTAAATGGTCACTGTGTTAGGAAGGTCTAGAACCACTGCTTTAGTGTTAAATCTAAATCAATACATCCCTATAGATTTTAATTGAACCATCTAAAATTATATGTGGAAAATTTTAAAATGCTATATTTCCCCCACTTCCCAATAAGCAGGTCTCTTTGCTGTGTCTCGGTGACAGAAGAGAGCAACTCTATGTCCTATTTACCCAGCACTACTTTCCATACTGAACCATGATTGTGGTAATGACAACACAAAGTCTATCCCTGACTGTTATGTGTTATGTGGTCATGGGCAAATACTTAACCCAAATTCTGAACATTTTCTTTCACGAATTTTATCTTTATTTTGAAATTTGTTATTTTACTCACTAACATTTGGGATTCTGAGTTTAGACATGACCATTGAATGGTTAAACTGATTGGGATAGCTGAAAAGGGCCTTAGATATCCTTTAAGTAACCATTGTATTTTCTAAAGGAGAAGATAAGATTTATATAGTTTTTTTTCAAACTAAGTACAGAGTCTCTAAGTAGTTTTTGAGAGCTCAATTCTTCCTGGTTAAATGGTAAAAGGACCTAAAACAATAGATAGAAAGAAATTAGTGGAAAGATGATTCTGAAGGCCTTAAATGCATCTAAAGTTCCTAAAATGAGAGGTCACCACATTTTTCGTTGGCACCTCTAAAACGTTATGGAGAACATTGTCCATTAATAGGTTACTTAAAATTAGGGATTACAAAATTTCTCAAATAGAAGTCTAAATATTGAGCTACAATATACAGAAACCAAACCTTTATAAAATATGTAACATAATAGACACTTTAATGTCATTTTATTTTATTATTCATAACCATTGTCTAACATACATGTAAAGCAAATTATTTTAAAATCTTTCATTGTTGGAAAATTTTATACATCCTTGTAATGTGTTTTGATCAAATCCACTCCCCAATCCCTCACCTTCAATTACCCTTCCATCGTTCCGTCATTTTTCCCTTCCAACTTCATGTGCTTTGTTTATTAAACCCTCTCTGGGATCACATCCCTGAAGGAAACTGATTCTCCCTTCACCAGCAGCCATCAGTTGCTATTGGCTGGGGCTTTAAGAACCCTCCTCCTTCCAGGTCAGGATTTTGGCTGATTTGATCTTGCATAGGTCATGTGCATATAGTCACATCTGGAATGGGTTCATATGTCTCCATCATGTCCAGCTAATATTGTTTCTCTGTGAATGTCCACTACTATGGCTCTTAGAAAATTTCAGCCCTCTCTTCTGCAATGATAACTTATTCTTGGGTAAAGAGGGAGCACGATATATATGTTCCCCTTTAGAGGTGAACACTCCACAGTTAAAGTGAGTTACTTTTAGGTATAAGGTTCAGGAGACTTTATGTTTTGGGAAAAAAAACTATTCTTAATCATAGATGTTTTATTGTTCCAAAACTAGAAAGTTGACAATGAGTTGAAAATTAATTGATTAGTTCCCACCTTGTTTGTCTTCAAGAGTCTTTCTTTAAACAATTTTGACAATTTCATTCATATAAGGAAAATATTCTGATTTTTCTTCCCCACTCTTATCAAACCGTCTTTCTTCCCTACAGATTTTGTTCCCACATTCATAACTTTTTTTTCATGACCCAGTGAGTTTAACCCCAGCCATCTGTTTGACCCTGAGTTTGGGGAATTTTATGTTGAATCCTGGTGGGCTTATCAGTTGGCGCACAGCTGAAGACAATCACTCCCCCATCTCAAAATTTGTTAGTAGCCAGAATTTGTTCATGGGGGGGGGAGGCGGTCCCATGAGGCGTTCTGTAGTCCGTAGAAGACTATTGGTAGGGCCAATTCTATGCAGACCCGGTGCCCTTAAAGGCAGCAGCTGTGAGTTCATGATTGCGGTGGTTTTCTTGTACCTAGAAGATGGTGTTTGAAGTCCTTCTTGCTATCATCAATTCCCATTGTCAAAACAAAGTTATATTCTCACCTAAATTGTGTATTTTCAATGGCAGGTTATCCAAATAACAAGAAGTTTACATACCAATAGCATAAGACCCATGGGATTGTTGAGTTAAGCATTCATTCTTGAGGTGTTAAGACATTAGTAGCAGATTTGCTATGGAGTGGAAATCAGGCAGTGTTTCTGCATGTCCTGACACCAGCTTTTCATGTGAACCTCCGTTTCGATACTTCAGATTACATGTTTATCTAGTTTATTAGTCTACAGCATACATCATTGTTACAGTGTCCATTTCCCTCTCCCTTGGGGCTCTCTTATTTCTGCCAGCACCTCTATCAAGTTATTTGATTACAGCTTTCATTGCCACTGAAAAAAATAATCACCAACATTGTTCAACCTGTTAAAACTGCCTTTTCTCCTCTCTGCCATTTTGTAGTTTTTTGGCCTACTGTCAAACTCATGAAAATTTCAGTATAATAGTCTTTAACCAGCTGCTGCGTTCTGTTAGGATTTCTTTCACCTTTTTCTGTTTCATACTCCCATATGGGTAAACCAAACAGAGCCAAGAACTAGGACTCTCTTGCTTACTTAATGAGATAGAAAATTATTCTTCTATGTTCTGGACCGTCAGAAGAATTTAGGAATCCCAAACTTGCACGCAGCATGTTCCAACATAGATGCCATAATAAAAGCATAAAAATATCTCATTGAATCAGACTAACATGGCAACTAGCCCAGGGCTCTCTCCCATATGGAGGCAAGAGTGGTGTTTATTGTTTGTTTGTTTGTTTGTTTTGTCAGTTAACCTAGTAATTTTCATCTCAAAAATTAGGGTGCTACATGCCCAGTTGCTAATGATGTATTGGAAAATAACTGACAGTGAAGTCTACCCAAAGCTATGTAAAACTTTTCTCACGTGTTGCTTCAGTCTTATCTTAGAAATAACTCCTATGGTTATATTGAGTTCTATGTAAATCAAGGTATGTTTTACTGTTTCTTCAAACTGCATCTCTTGACCCCAACAAACAGCTCTGGTTAAATGCTTTGGAAATCAAAGAAGACATTTATGTTTACCCACTGTGGATTTTAATCTCACATTCCCCATCCCAACTAATGCTTTTTATTTCCATCTTCCTGCGTTGAGAAATGCTAATCCTTTTTAGTCTTTTAGTCTGTCCTTGAATGAAAGATAAGCTTTCCCCTTGATCATCTTGGCTGTTTTTCCCTGAATCTTTTCCAGCTCTCTAATATCTTCCCTAGGATAGCCTGAGTAGAACATCCCAGATACTGGTTATTAAATTTGTTAGCACCGTCTCTACTCTCCACTCCCTCAT